TTTTTTTTTTTCTGTCTGCTGTGACTACATACTTAGTGGCTTAAAATGACACAAACTTATTCTCCCACAGTTCTGGAGGTCAGGAACCCAAAATGGGCCTCCGTGGGCTAAAATAAAAATGTCTGCAGGGCCAGGCACAGCAGCACACTTCGGTGATCCCAGCGACTCTGGAGGATGAGGCAGGAGGATTGCAAGGATTGCCAGCCTCAGCAATTTAGCAAGACTCCCAGCAACTTAGCAAGACCCTGTCTCAAACAAACAAAAATTTTAAAAAGGACTGGGGATGTAGCTCAGTGGTGAAGCATTCCTGGGTTCAAGCTTCAGTATCTGCTATCCCCCAAAATGTGGGCAGGGCTGGTTCCTTCTGGAGGCTCTGTGGGGAGTGTTAGTCTTCTGTCACTGTGACAACACCCAAGATCATCAGTTCTTAAGGAGGGAAGGTTTATTTTGGCTCATGGTTTCAGTCTATGGTCACTTGACCTTGTTGCTTTGGGCCTGTGGTGACACAATACATCATGGGTGGGAGCACAGGGCAGAAGCGGCTCACCTCATGGAAGTCAGGAAGCAAAAAGAGAGGGGAGAGGCAGGGTCCTGATACCTCCTTCAAGGGCACACCCCAATGGCCTATCTTTCTCCCATTAGGCCCCACCCTTTAAAGGGCCCACCACTCTGGATAGCACCACAGACTGACAACTAAATCATGGAAGACAGGATTTGTTTTCTTGCCTTCTCCAGCCTCTAGAAGCTGCCTATATTCTTGGCTCATGGTCCTCCTCACCCTGAGGAGTTCCGTTGTCACATCTCCTCCCACTGTTTACCCTCACCTCCCTCCAATAGAGACCCTTCAGATTCTATGGGGCTCACCAGGAGAATCCAGAACCATCTCAACTCAAGACCTTTATGTCATCTGCAGAGTCCCTTTTGCCCCTAAGGTCACACAGTCACAGGTTCTGCAGATTAGGATATGAAGACCACGGGGGAGCTATTATTCTGATACTCCAGAGGGAGTTTTAAATGTCTGCTTTATTGTAATCGACTGTGGTGAAGCCAACACAGTCGTGGACCACTGCCACTGAAGAGAGTGGGCTAGATTCCCAAGGGGGATGCACCACACCAAGGGCCACAGAGGGAGCCCCAGGCAGGGCCAGAACCCAGGAAAACCTGAGCAAGAGTTTCCACTGCATCTCTGCAGGATGCACTGGTGGGCCGGGAGAGCAGGTGTAGGCTGGGCAAGTTTGGATAACTGCAGCAAGCTCTGGGGGAAGGCAGCGTCTTGATTTCTTCGGCACTTGGCCTTGGGATGACCAGGGCAGGGGAGCATGGGCCTGGAATGTAAGAGCCCCTGAGAAAGGCGAGTGGGTGTGAGCTCTGAAATGGTTGGACTCACATGAAACAGGAGCACAGATGTTCTTGGACATACTTGTGGGACAGGACAGTCCAAGGGGAGAGTCATCATTTATAAACCTGTGTTCAGGGGCCAGGGTGGGGTAGGTAGTTCAGTTGTAGAGCACTTGCCTGGCCTGTGCCAGACCCTGGGTTTCATCCCCAGCACCCCAACAAAACAAAACACCAAACAGGTGAACTTCACTGTAAACAACAAAAGCAACGGATGCGGACAATCCCAGCTAGTCAGGAGGTTAAGGCAGGAGGGTGGCAAGTTGGAGGTCATCCTGGGCAACTCAGAGACCCTGTCTCTAAATAAAATGAAAAGGACTGGGGATGTAGCTCAGTGGTAGAGTGCTTGCTTTTGATTTTTTGGGGTGCTGGAGTCTCACATGTGTTAACTAAGCGCTCTACTGTAAGGTTACACATTTAGCCCATCAATAATGGTGGAGACACATCAATAATGTCTATTTTAAGCCAAAAGATGCTGGTGGTTAGCCAGGCGCAGTAGTATAGGCCTGTAATCCCAGCAGCTCAGGAGGCTGGGGCAGGAGGATTGAGTTCAAAGCCAGCTTCAGCAACTCGGCGAGACCCTGTCTCTAAAAAAAATATTTAAAGGGGAAAAAAAAAAAAAGATAACTGGCTCTTGCCTGTTTTAAACTAAAATAAAATGCATGGAACTACAATAAAATCAGGTGCTCCTACTAGACTTTTATTTAAATAGAATTTTAGGGCTGCGGATGTAGCTCGGTGGTACAGCCTTTGCCTAGCATGTTTGAGACTATTGAGTTCCATCTCCAACACCCAAACAAAACAAAAAACAGAATTTAATCTAAACAAATATTCTCTTTCTTTTTAATAGATCCCAATTTGGTTCCAGTATACTGTCCCCATTCCAGGTGAGGAGAATCACTACTTGTAGATGCCATCTTGGTGGACCCATGGCATTCACTTGTGCCTCAGGGCCAATGGGACATAAGGAGAGAGGTACCCGGAGCAGGAGCTTTAGGGACAGATTTCTCTCCCACTTACAATGCTCAGGACAGGAAGGGTGTGGCCCCTTCATTTGCCAGATGTTGGTACAGATATATGTGACATCAGAGCAGCTGCAGCTACTTTGGGGCCATGAGGGAGTTCCCCAATGGGGGATGGGAGAACCTGGTTCCCTGACAACCCTGAGGCCTTCCCACCCTGGGACTTCTTTCATGGGGTAAGACTGTGTATGTGTGTGTGTTGGTCTCTGTATTTTAGTTTTTAAGCTCAGGTTTGTGTTTTCTCTCCTTGTGACTGAAGGGGTCCCTTGGGAAACCGGTAAACTTGATGCCAGGACTGTGTCTCTCAGGAATGATACCTGACTATGAAAGGAAGAGGACTGAGGCGGGTGACGTGCGGGGGCAATTTCAGAGGGAATGGTGCATACACATGGACAAAGAAGCACGTTTGTTCCACAGGGTGCACTGAGGGGTCTGGAACACAGCGCAGGCCGAGAATCCCTATGAGACGAGGACTGAAGGGTGGGCAGGGCCAACCTTCAGGGCCTCCCAGGTGAGGGTCCCAGCTAAGGGGCTGGGACCTGGTCCTGGGGTGGGGCCAGCTCCAAATACGGGCTGGGGGCCAAGAGGTCAGGGAGGAGGCTGGGGATGAGGTGGCTGGAAGCCAGGGTCCCAGGGAGAGTCCAGACTCTCAGTCCAGAGCTGACCAGCTATGCTGAGGGCCCTCCTGTCCCTCGGCATCCAGCCACACAGAGGACACTGAAGCACTGCTGGTTCCACCCAAAGTAGGGACAAGGTCTTGAGGGACCACCCAAGCTCCCAGAAACCAGAAGCAGCTGGGTCCAGAGTAGCAGGTAGGATTTCGGGCAGCTGTGGGGACACAGGAAGCCTGAGCAGCCTCAGCCACCATCTGGGAAGGCAGGCACAGAGCCAGTGCTCCTGGGAGCAAGCAGGGGCTTCCGCAGATTCAGCTGACCCAGTGGGTACCCGATTGGACACGTGAAGTGGTCTTGGGAAGGGACCCAAGGATGCCCCGGGGAAGGGACAGGAAGAAAGAACCACAGACTCAGAAGCTAGGAAGCTGAGACCTGCAATATGGCAGATGTAGGGCCTGAGAAGCAATGCGTGAAATGCCACCCTGTCCCCCTCCTCCTGGAGGCCATGTGAGCTGCTGACCCCGGAGAAGGCTGACTGAGACACTTCATCCAGCTGCTGTCGGCTGTCACATAGGAACTAGGAGGGCTGCAGCCCCTGAGGGATCATAGGTGCTGGGAATCCAGCTGGGGCACCTCGGGGGGCTGTCCAGGAACCTTCTTTTCAGAAGTATCAACATCCTTCTGGTCACCAGCTGGAGCTGGGACAGGGACATCACCTGGAAATGGAGGAGGCAACCAAGTCTTAACCCAGGAGTCCCAGCTCTCCTCCCTCAGGAGTCCAGGCTCAGTCCCTCCTCCCTGGGCCCAGGACTCACCTGTGTCGGGGTGGAACTTGAGCTCTCCTTCGGGGCTGGCGGGGGGTGTGTTACGGGCCTCCTGCTCCTGCTTCCTTTGCTCCATGTGCAGAATGGCCTGCAGGAGGGTGACCACAAGGAGGTCATGACACTGGCATTCCAAGTGGCACAGGCCTGAGTCCCCAAACTGGCCTCAGTCCACGGCAACCTGTTAAGTGGTCTTGGGCTAGTCCCCTTTCCATAGGCCTCAGTTTTTCTCCATCACTGAGAGGTAGGCTTAATCCTCATTAAGAATCCAGTTCTCTTCTGTCATGGCTTGAGTCCTGCCTTGGGACAGCCAAGCCCTCGCCGAATCCTTCGCTTCCCTCCCTGGCCTTTCCCCCTCTCACATTCCCACTGCCCTCATCTAACATGGCAGGCACAGTACAGCCAGGAAACAACTGCCCTTACTTAAGATGGCAGCTGAGGCCTACCAGTAATTAACATGGTGAACACAGGCCTTCCCAGCCTCTGGGCACCCATGTGGACAAGGACAGGAGCCACCAAAGACCCAGAGGATGGGCCCAGCTTTCCCAGCCAGTCACCTGCTGCAGCTCTCTCTTCTGGGCTTCCAGGTGGCCCTGAGACCGCCCTAGGGCCTCTGCCTCCTGGCTGAGGCGCTGGGCCTTGGCATTCAGCTCTGCCTCCCGGGCGGCCAGCTCCTCCTCGAAACGCCTCAGCTCTTCCTCTGTGTAGGCTGGGTGCATCTCCACTGTCTACAGGGCCCAAGACAAGGGCCATGAATGGGGGCAACTCCAGCCGTGGCCCACCCATGTTGGAGAGGGCTCTGCCAAAGGAGGTTTAGAGAAGGCTGGGAGGCGGTGGCCGGGCGCGTGGGCAAAGGAGACCTAGGCGGGGGTACAGGATGGGATAAAGGGCTAGGGAGAAGGGAGAACAGACCGAGAAATATGGGACACAGACCCAGAGAGAGGGGACAAAGACGCAGAGTATGAGAAGTAGCTAGTCCTTGAAAGAAAAGTTAGGACTGGGAAAACAAACTATTTAGGCTCCAGATTGTTCCCAGTGTCCTTACCTCCCATCCCTCCCCAGTGTCCCCATACTCCTTCCTCTGTGTGGATGCAAGGAACTCCTCCAGGGTCACTAGCCGGTCCTGGTTTGTGTCCACCTGGGGAACCAGAACAGGGTAAGGGCCAAGAGCTGAGGCCACTGCCCTCCCTGGCCCATGTCCCTCCTCTCACATGCTTCATCACATGCTCCCGCATGCGCAGCCGCTCCTCCTCCATCTCCCGCATGTCGTCCTCCTCATTCTTCGGGTCATACACCTTCTCCAGCTGCAGAGTTGTGTGAGAATTGGGAAGTCATGAGAGGTCCAAGGTAACCCTCCTTCAGATACACCCAAACAACTTCAACTCCCAGCAGGCCTTGGGGCTCCCTGATACTCCTGGCAGCCTCTCATTGCCTTAGAGGCTGCTGGGAGTTGTAGTCTTCCCTTAACTCCCACCCAGGAGGACTGAAGGGGACCAGAAGGAGCCCTGAGAGGACATGTGGCTGATGTGGATGTCCCCTCTGCCCACAGCTTTAGGACACTCACCTCCTTGGTGAACAGGGCCTCTAGCTCCTGCTCATCCAGGACACCATCACTGTTGATATCTGAGGGGGAGAAGACAGCGAGGTGTCTAGTGGGTGGAGAACAGGGTGGTCTGATTCCCAAGGGACAAACTGGTAAAGAAATTTGGGGCTGATGTGGGGTGTATTGTCAGGGGACAGGTAATGAGGGGTCTCTGGCAGTGGAATGGTGGCCTGCAGGCTTCAGCACCCCTGCTGGCCCATTGCCGGGACGGCCCATTCCCTCACAACCAGGGTCCCAAGAATGGAGGCGAGTTGGGCTCACTGTCACACGGGACTCTCTCTGTACCTAGGACCCAGTATTTCAGGGATAGGTCAGCTCCTTTGACCAGGATCTGGGGGGTACAGGGACCTCTGCCTCCCAGGGAACCGGGCCAGTGCTGACTCCAGGTGCCAGGGGATTCACCCCGCTGCAGGGCTCAGGCGGCCACACTCTCTGTCTCCGCCTCTCCCTTTTCTGCTCACTCCTGATCATCAACCTGTTCCTGCCGAGGTGACCCAGAACCCTAATCTTGCAAATCCAATGCTTTTGTATTGTCCTTGACTCTTCCCTGGGTTTCCAGAATGTCCTTGAGTCCTTTCAGGCTGACCCAAGTCTCCGGCTCTTTTTTTTTTTTGGGCATGTGAGTCAAGCTCTCTACCAACTGAGGAATGTCCCCAGCACATCCAGGTTAATCCTTTTGCTGACCTCTAAATATCTGTGCACCCCAGGGCTCTGGCTTGGGGGCCACTTCTTTACCCACACTGGATCTGTGCTATCTAATGTGGGAGTCGCCAGCCACATGGGCTATTTAAATTTAAAATATTAAGATTTAATAAGGGCTGGGGATGTGGCTCAAGCGGGAATGCGCTCGCCTGGCATGCGCGGGGCGCTGGGTTCGATCCTCAGCACCACATAAAATAAAAATAAAGATGTTATGTCCACCGAAAACTGAAAAATAAATATTAAAAAATTCTCTCTCTCTCTTTTCTTTAAAAAAAAAGATTTAATAAGAGGGTTGTAGCTGTGGCTCAGTGGCAGAGCACTTGCCTAGCATGTGTGAGGCACTGGGTTTGATCCTCAGCACCACATAAAAATTTAAAAAATAAAATAAAGGTATTGTGTCCATCTACAACTAAAAATATCTTTAAAAAAATTTAATAAGATTTAGGGCTGGGGATACAGCTCAGTGGGAGAGCACCTCTGTGTTCAAGCCCCAGTACCTAAAAACAAAAGATTCAATAAGATTTGAACTTCAGTTTATCAGTCCCACTTGGTACATGGCAAGACTCAATAGCCGTAGGCGGCTGGTGGCTGTCATACTGGACAGGCAAACACAGGACATCTTCCATCACAGAGTTCTACTGGCCAGGACCTTCCCTAGATGGGCTCTTCTGGTTACTCAGATTTCAGAGTCATCCAATAATGGCCTCCACTCTTGAACACACAACTGTCTACAATCCCTCTCCACCTGGATTGTAACAGACATTCTAATTTAACCCGAGCAGACCCACCTTCCCTAGCAATCACATCCGTTCCGTCCCGTGTCTGGAAGGGAACTGGAAGGTTCCTCAAAGTTGCTTGGGACAAACACCTTGGAGCTACCCTTGACCCTCTAACAGCTAATCCAATCCTTTCAGCTGACTTTCAAGGTGATTCCAGACTCTAAGCACTTCTCCCTACTTCCCATATTCTAGCTGCCAGTATTTTACCCTCCTCACTGAACTCTTGACTTTGGCCCTTGTCCCTATAGTCTGAGCTCAACACAGTACCCAGGTGGATAATAAAATCCAAGTTCCTTTCCTTGCCACAGGGTCCCTGGTGGCTGCTACTGCCCCTGCAATCACTCTTCTTCATGCATTCTGCTCCCACAGCCTGGAAACCCAAAAGTTCATTCTTCCTTATGTGCACTTGCTTTTCCCCACCTAAAATGTTCTTCCCTCATACTAGTAGGAAATAGACCAGAGACCCTGTGCCTAATAGAATAAAAAGTAGGCCCAACTCTTCATCATGTCAGCTCAGGCCTGATTTCCTTAACAAGACTCCTACTAAAGTGCAAGAAATAAATTCAAGAATCAATAAATGTGATGGATTCAAGCGGAAAAGCTTCCTAGCAAAATAATAATAATAATAATAATAACATGAAGACAGAGCCTATAGGATAGGAGAAAATCTTCACTACATGCACATCAGATAGAGCAAAAATCTCCTATATGAAGAACTTAAAAAACTTTAACACCAAAAACAACAACAACAACAACAACAACAAAATCAATAAATGGGCTAAGGATCTGAGCAGACACTCCACAGAAAATACACAATCGATCAACAAATACATGAAAAAATGTTCAAATCTCTGGCCATTAAAGAAATGCAAATCAAAACTATCCCTAAATTTCATCTCACTCTAGTCACAATGGCAATTATCAACAATACAAGCATCAATAAGTGTTGGTGAGGATGTGGGCGGAAAAGTACACTCATTGATTTCTGGTGGGACTGCAAATTGGTGCAACTACTCTGGAAAGCAGTGTGGAGATTCCTTAGAAAACCTGGAATGGAACCACCATTTGACCCAGCTATCCCACTCCGCAGTCTATACCGAAAGGACTTAAAATCAGCATACTCTTGGTGAAGGCGATCCCCCACTCACTGTCTTGACAGGTCACAGTGAGAAAAAGTGCTGGCAAAGCCATGCTGGTTGGTGGGAAGCCGAAACCATGAGACCCTTTTTTATGTAACTGGGACTTTTCATTTTCATGCTCATGTTCCTGACAGGAGGCAGGAGTATGCTAAATGCCAAAACAAATTAAATTTCAGATGGCTAGAACAGAACAGGTGGTTCATGCCTTGGAGGCCGTTCTACCATCCCTGAGCATATCAAGGACAAAGTAGAAGGCTGTTCTTCTATCTCAGCACATTATGGACAAACCTGATAATGGACAATAATCATCCTCTGAAAGGTCATGAGAATCTTAGGCACCACACTGATTATATCAACTAGAACCCAAGCCCATATTTCCAGCCTCTTAGAAAATCTAATCATTATGCTTATTTTACAAAGTTCACCACATGTAGTCTCATTCTTGATTGAGGAAAGTTATATTATACACTTGGGAAAGTTAAAACATATAAAGATATATTCTTCTCTTTTTATAAACCCTTTTTTATTTTACATAGGGATATATGATGAGCATAGTTAATATTGGTGGAAAGTGGATTGATGTTTAGAACTTACTTTCTATTGAGAAAGACTATAAAGACATGAGAACTAGTGCACCTTGACTGAGGAACAAAGAAACTC